CCACTAGTTTTAATTAAAATGCACAAGTGAAAAAAATTGAAGGAAGTATTTGATCTAACTCTAAAGATGAGTAAAAAAAAGGTAGAGAATGTTTGTCCAAAACAGAGGAGACATCAGCAAGAATTAAATATTTTGTTTCTGAGATATTTAAAGCATTGTATTAAATATTAATAGGTTGGGTGCTGTAAAGTTAATATAGAGGGTGTTATTTTATTTATCTTGGAGAGTAATGACATATCAAGATCTGTGAATGAATGAATGAATGACATGTTTATGTTGTAATTTTTTATTTTGTTTAGTTTTTTCTAACATTTATTACAGACTATTTCTTCTGTTACTTTGCCATTCTTTGAGTATCTCCATTTCATTAATGATGATCAAAACTGAAAAATGGATTGCTAGGTGATTAAACTAGCACAAATAACTTTTGTGCATATATAGTAAAACTGTAAAGAGCTTGTTCAAACTGAGCATGCATTGCATTTCACTATAGGCAACTATTTATATAAATTATTTGAGTGCCCTTAACTCTTAGTGTATATTTTTGTTAATTATAAAGATATATAGATTAAGCTATGCAGACTCACTACTTACAGTAGTCCTTCTCAGTCATTGCCACTCTAAGGAATAAAAATGTTTCATCTGTTTCTAACAGGCATATAGAAGTTTAGCACTTTCATGACTCTATATGAGCTAGTTAATGTCAGTTGTAATTAAACAAATTCTATTTTGTTTTATTCAGCTACAGACTATTCACTGTTTATAGTATCCCCATTGTACAGCATCTGTATATTTTCAAAAACTTGATATTGCCAGATTTTTAGAAAGAACTTTTGCCTTGTTTATAGCTGTGGTGATTTGTCCCAACTTTTTAAAAATTGCATCCTTCATTGTGACTGACAAATGGAAATATTTAAGTGTTTTGGAGGATAATTATATCAAGGATGATATTAATATTACTGGCAAATGTAGATACAAATAGGGTGTTTTGTGTTATATGAGTTTAAAATATTAAAAAGTACTTCTTGAAATAAAACTTCATGCTTGGGAAATGCACTGTAATACATTTTGCATAAGATTTTTCTGAAAAACCAACAGTGTATAGCCAAGATTTTTCAAATAAATCTAGTAATTTACTACTTTATTTTGATTCTTAAAAATGCATTGCAATTGAATTAATGTTGTGTAATTTGAATAAAAAATCAAGTGATTAAGAAGGAGACGGATTTTTTTGTTGGTTTGTTTCTTTTGCATTCATTCCCAACTTACCATTCTGGAATGCATCAGACGATATTCATCCCTACCCAGAACTTCCACATTGTGAATTGTGGATTTTCAGGTGATAAAGAGATGAACGGTAGAAAAAATGATATCCACAATATCATGTACCACTTTGAAATAGCAAAAAGGTTCAGAAACATTTTCAGAAGAAATTCTGTAAAATCCTAAAATGTATTAAAATGTCCTAGAAAATTCTATTTCCCCAGGAAAAAACACTGGAAATTTGGAACAATATTTCTGGACAATACTAGTAACAGTTGCCTAAGCAGAAGAGTAATCCACTGAGAATTGACTTAAGGATCACAGCGGCATTAGAATTATGATATCTTATAAAATATAAAAGGGCTCATGGGGTAAACTTCATTAGGGCTAAAATGTGTGATGAAAACTAATGCAGAGATCTACCAGTATAAAATTGGCCCCTAGTTATTGAACAATTCTTAGTTCTATTTTTTGAAGTGTACTAATTGATCCTACAGAGTTACTTATTCCATAATCACGGAAGTGACTGCATTTACAACTAGAATAAATTAAAGTAAATGAAGAGGAAAATTGTATTCTGTATAACATTTAGCTCATTATAGTCTTAAACAACCACACAAACCCATCTTCATCAATATAAGTTATGATGTTTGTAGAAACAAAATATTTTCACCACAAAAGTGTCCATGTTACATAAGCATAGAAATTGGTATGTGATAAGTGAGCCATTTGCCTTAAAGCCTTACTGGTTATAGTTAGGAATATGACTGAGAGTCACATGCTATCTTGGGTTTTGATCTAAAGTTAGAAGTATGGAACATCATTGCATTTTCTTGCAGTGATATATGAAATATGGCTTGTAGTTTTTCATTTTGCATGAAACAGTAATACTTTTTTTTTTGCTCTTGTAAAGTCACTATAGTTTGGGTCAAAGTATTTTCAATTTGCATTTCTAGCATATCTGAAAGTACCTATGGCCATGAAAAATATTTGTTGTACATTATGTTTGATTCGCAAAGACATTTCTCTAGATGCTGTTCACTAGATCCATTGCTTCTGAAAACTACTCTGTTGGGGATAGAAGCCAGGGAGATGTAAGGATGTTATGAATTGAACACGGAGACATTGGAAAAAGAGGAAGGGATGGGGGTTAGGCCAAAGAAGGCCCCTAGCTGATGACCTTAGCAGCCAGCCTACCATGTTGAATTAAGAGGCTATATGTGTCCACTGTTACCTTGTGATGGCATTCTCTAGTATGGAGTCCAAGTCATATTTTCCTTGGTGGCCTCAAGTTAATTATCCCAACATGATGTGACATTTCAGAGAAATACCAGCATCACTTTGTACTTCCTTTTTCCCAGTGAAGCCCTTTGCCCTTCCCCCAAAGGCACCTGAAGAACAAAATGTTTTTAAAGATGACATTTAATATACTATTGGTACAAGTGAATTGTAGTAGTAAAGCCCTTGCAGACATTGAAGCAGACAGGTAGTGCAAGGGGTCAGAAGAGGAGTGGAGAGATAAAATGTGGAACTGTGAGAATGACCTATTGAAAATTATTGATGCAATAAAGAGTTTTAAGTTACAGCTTGCCCTAAACTCTCTGTTAAAAAATCTTGAAGAAAGAATACTGCAAATCTGAGAACTTCTCTTCTGCAACTGGATTTACTTGTACAGCATGTTCTATGGATCACTACCATCGCAGTCCTATCTATGTTTCCTTTGTTAATAACCATATTCATGTGATGATTCTACATAATGGAAAGAAGAAAATCTCACTTTATTATTTACCGTATTTGCCGGCGTATAAGACGACTGGGCGCATAAGACGAGCCCCCAACATTTCCACTCAAAATATAGAGTTTGTTATATACTCGCCGTATAAGACGACCCCCCCACTTGGAGGCATGTTTTTCAGGGCAGAAAAGTCATATGCTGGCAAATACGGTAAGTTGTAACACTTGGGGTATTCTGGATATAATTCTTGATTGACACCCCCGCCCCTTTCCCCCAAACTTACAAAGCCACCAAAATGCTTTAGAGAGGCAGCTTCGCCTTTCTCAGGCTGGCACTCAATTCCTCTCCCTTTCTTTGTGACACCGTTGAGCGATCTGCTTTTTTCAGGGGAAAATAAATAAATAAAAATAAAACTGGACGAAAAACAGTCGAGTTGTTTCTTAATATCTTTCCACCTCCCCAACCAATTTGTCTCCAAGGGTGCACCACACTGATTGCGACATTAATTATTTCAGAGAGAGAGGGTGGGGGGGGAGAAATCTTTGCTTCCTACTGTGGCTTTTTCCTGCGCATCGTTTTTTCCCTTGGCTTTGTGGTTGTTACTTCTTACAGGGAGGGATAATGAAATACCCACGCTGGGAGAAAGCGGAAAGGATGTCTATTTTCCTGCTCACTAACTTTCCAGAAAGCGTCGAGTTCCTACCCCCGAGACTTGCCAAAAGTCCAGTTCATTCATTTGCTACCTTTCTCCAATGAGATCCAGATCTGTTTCCACAACGCGCTTAGGATCTTATCTTATTATCTTATTATTATCTTATTAGCCTTGCTCGGTCCGTCCAAGAGAGAAGAAGGCAGACGGTTTTGCGCTCAGGGAGAAAGGAAAAGAGCCTCTCGCTCACGCTGCACACTGCCCCCCCCTCCACCCCAGCAACGCTTAGGAAAAGAGTTACACAAGCATCCTTTCCAGAAGTGAATCGGGGGGGGAGGGGGGAGGATTCGGAGCAAAGGCTGAAACCGGGAAGAAAACTTCCCAAAGAAAATCGCACGAGCAGCATCCCATTCCTGGGAGAAAAACAAAAAAACAAAAAACACGAACTCTTCCCGAAGCACAAAAGCAAGGATGGCGCTTTCTCAGCTTTGAGCTGCGTCGCTGCTCTCCCACCCCCTCCACTCGTCCCCACGTGCGGCGAAGTTTCTGCCACTGGGGGGGGGGGTGGAGGGGGATGGAAGGAGGTGAGGGATGGGGGCAAAGCCTGGAGCCTGCCTGTCCGCTTGCACGAGCGGAGTGGGTGGGGGAGGAGGAGGAAGAGAGACTCCGGCTGGGCTTGAAGGGGCTTGGCAAGTTGCGGAGCTCCGCCCCCGTCGCTCTTGCACCGAGTGACAACAACGTATTTGCTGGCGTATAAGACGACCTTTGTTATATACTCGCCGTATAAGACGACCCCCCCACTTGGAGGCATGTTTTTCAGGGCAAAAAAGTCGTCTTATACGCCGGCAAATATGGTATATATGCACCAAACTTTACTATTTTCTATTAGATGTTTACTTCATTTTAGCCAACAGTTAAACTGATACAATTTATGCCCTTATTTACACTAATAAGTATTTATTTATCTTTATTAATTTACATAAAAAAATAAAATCCAGAGAACCTACTGTCATACCCAAGGCATTTATTTAATATACATATCCAGCTTACTTTGACTCATATTTTTTTTCCAAATAGGTCCCAATATTAACCTAAGTGGACCAGATCTCCCCTTTTTTCTTCTTCCTCTTTATTTCTAACACCTCTCTGTAAGATGTAAAAAAGAAAAAACATAGCCTCAAGCCAAAGGGATTTCTTGATTTATCACATTTGTCTTATCTAAATTATATACGTTAAGAAGTTTATGACTTGGTTAGCTCACTTTTGCACTACCGTACTTTCCTGTTTAACTCACTGTAACATTTGAATAGGAAGAATCATGCTAATTATATACTTTTCATTTTTGTTTCATAGAATCCTTTTACCTTTAGCACGGAAACTCCTGACTTTGGTTCATCAGACAGGCAGCCAAACGTTCAGACTGGATTTGGCATTCTTATCCACCCAGATCAGCAGAGATTAACTCCAGACCAACAATCAATTAAACAATACCCCAAGAAGCTGCTAAAGAAGCCAACAGCAAACAGTTCGACTAAAGAACCTCTAAGACCATCCTCATCAATACACTAGGCAAGCCACTAGAATATAAACTGAACGCAAACTGCACTCCTTACTAGCACTGATGGTGTTACCTATTTTGGGTAATGAAATATCTGCAAGAAAACAAGCAAGGTCAGAAAGCACCAAGGACCCCTCGTGTCAACCCTGAGCTATAAACATTCTTTATTATATACCAAGAAATCACCAAAGATTGATTACACTAAATCTGATTTTTTTTACTTTTTCCCAAATTCCCTGTTGTGCATGCTTGACAGCTGATTAAGAAGCAAACAAAACAAGTTAAAATCTGCAATTATTTCTGTGTAGTGTTTCATGCCTCTGGCAAATGCAGACAACCTTGAGATTACAGAAAGTACAGTCTAAATTTCTAAGGAGTGTCTTTCCAAATGAAGTGAAACGTATGCACTGTCATTCACCACCATAAGGCTGATGTGGTCAAACTTGAAACGAATGTATGTATATTGCTTTCATATTAATTAGAGTTTGTTCCTGCAAGCCTGGACTCTCTGATCTTGATTGATAATTTGAATAGCCTTGAAAAAGATTAATTCCCCCAAGAATTTTGATGATGAGAGCCAAGCAGGTGGTAAAGAAAAGTGCAGAGATGACCTTAAAGAAAATATGCAATAACTGATAGTAAAATCTGAGCTTACCCCATGAAAATGGCCCTATCTTGATTTTCTTTGGTACAGCAGGGAAAGAAATAGAAATGGTGGCAGCTCTTCAATATTGTATTCTCAGAGCTGCTATCAATAAAGTATAAGTCTAGAAATTTTTGTAATGTCTGTTTCCTGATCTGGCTCACCTTGAAGAGCTGACAGGCAGTGTCAAGTTATAAGCAATGTATTATGGATATAGAAGAGCAATTTGATTTGTGGAAGAGCAGTTAAATCCCTAGAGATGTATTTCTGGATAGCCAGTCCCTTTTTATGTACAGTACCAATGAGATATTTAAGTCAAATAACCATCTCCAACTTCAAAAAATCATTAGTCCTAACACATATTAATATAATTCTAATGCATTACTACCAGGAGAGATTTAGAAAAGAAAACTTGATTATGCTCTTCTGGCAAAGGGACAATTCAAAATGTGTCTCCTGTTATACTGCAACATACGTTTTATAAGAATCAAGGGCTACATTTTGTAATTCTATAATTTTCAGGTCATTCAGATATCTTCTATGTATAACTGCTGCTAGCTGATCAATATGACTCAGCTTTTTTATGTGGTTAAACTGTTTTACAATCTATAAAATTCTCTGGGGAAGCTGCATTGGAAAAAAAGATGAGTAATTTTAATCTGGTACCCCAAAATGTAAAGGATCTGCTAGCTTAGTAATAAAATGCCAAACTAATAAAAACAATAACCAATCTTGGAAGTGACAATAAAGCTATTGAAATGGTAACCAGATTCTCCCTTTTAGGATCAAATATCAATAGTAAAAGAGAAAGAAATCAAATAATATGATGTGGGCTAACTTCTGTAGAACAGCCATCAAGGCCATGGAAAAGATATTGAGATGGCAGAATAGTGTAACCAATTGTATTCCATATGACATTATAATGAAGCCTACATTGACTTGGAAGCAACTGGACAAGCTTTTGAAGTTTGGTGTTGAAGAAGACTTTGGAGAACATCATGTACAGCCAGCAAAACAAACCAGTGGATTATCAAATAAATCAACCGCAGTTCTCATTGAATACATGAATGATCAGGCTCAAATTATCCTATTTTATACACATTGTACAAAGAGAACACACTAATAATGAGAAAGATAGAATGTGTGGATGATTTTGGGGAATGAGAAGAAGAGGTGCTGCAGAGAGATCAGAGTTCCCAAGTGGCTTAAAGGTCAGAGAAAGAAACATAGGAAAGATCCACTCCAATGGATCAAGCAATTAAAAATAGTGGCAGGAGGTTTGTATGTTCAGACTTGAAAGATTCTTTTAATATAGCCTTACAGTAAAGTAGAATTAGTTAATCTAATGTTTCCTGTCTACTTTACATAGGAGGGGCTGATATGTCCTATGGCCCTTTTAACTCATAGTTCAGTCTAAAGATTCCTATAGATCGACAATTATTTTCTAAGGATATTAGACTGATTGTCACTAAACCCTTCATTCTTTGTTTTTCCTCTTTTGGAATGCAGGAAATTTTTCTAGACCCTTGCTCTAAATTACCTAAATATTTGGCCAAACTGTCAGCAAATTCCTTTAATAATAATGAAGAAATTCAGCTAGCTCTAGAAATTTAAACTGATTCGAATTCAACAGCTCATGCCAATCTTATTTCATTCTTTGACAAAGTGACTAAATTAGCAGACCAAGGAAATGCTGTGGAAATACTTAGACTTCAGCAAAGCACTTGACAAAGTAGACCACAACCTACTTCTTGCTAAACTAGAAAAATGTGGGATAGATAGCATCACCACAAGATGGATTTGTAACTGGCTTACAAACCATACTCAGTAAATAACCCTTAATGGTACATATATGGTGGGCAATAAGCAGTGGATACCACAAGATTCTATTTTAAGCTCAGTTCTCTTAAATACCTTCATAAATGCTTAGATGAAGGAATAGAAGGGGTACTCATCAAATTTGCAAATGGCACTAAGCTGACAGGAATAGCCAACACCCCAGAAGACAAACTCAGGGTCAAAAAATATCTTGACAGACTTGAGCAATAGGCCCTATCCAACAACATGAAATTTAATGTGGAGAAAAGCAAGGTTTTACATCTAAGCAGGAAAAATCAAAAGTACAAATACAGATTAGGTGAAACTTTGGCTTTAAAACAGTAATTCTAAGAGGGACGAATTCTAGTGGACAATCACATAAACATTAGCCAGCAGTGTATGGCAGAAGCCCACCAAAAAGATGTTTTGGTTATACGTTTATACAACCATCCTTGTTGTATAAATAGAGGCATAGAATCAAAATCACATGAAGCATTAGTACCACTTTATAAATCCTTACAAAGACCCCATAAATGCCTCGGTGGTTAGAGTGCTGTACTGCAGGCCACTTCTGTTGACTATCGGCTGCCTGCAATTCACAGTGTAATGGAATGTGTGCATGACCTTGGGGAATGAGCCTGCTTTTCTAGTAAGGTTGTCAAGCTTTATTAAATGCATTTACTTAGTTCATAACACCATGGTGCCTCTGACAGCCAAAATGGGGCATGCCTGGATAGCCTCCTGCAGCACTTTGCCAACCAAAAGGGGTGGCACGGGAGGGACACGGCCCCATGCCCTCTTTTGGCTGGCAGGGAATTACAGGAGGCCGTCCAGGCTGAAAATTGGGGTGACAAGGCCACGTGTGACCCCCTCGCACCCTGTTTGGCCTATCAGGGTGCTGCAGGAGATGTCTGTTCCGTTCCCCTACCATCACCACCCCGCTGGCACATGAAGAAGAACTACAATGCTGATCTGGCCCTCGAAGAAAACCAGTTTGACATTCCTGCATTACAGAAAGAGAAGAAGAAAAGCAAGCAAGGTGGATGAACTCAGTTTTCGTATTTGCTTAGGGACAGATCACCACGTGGGAGCCAAAGCTCAACACCAACTTGATAGCACATAATCAATCAATCCATCAAAAATCTCTGAGATTTAATTGCATCAATGATACAACTATTTTGTTTATTTTATTATGTATGTTTAACTTATTGGGTTCTTTTATTAGGTTCTTTTAGTAGAATTCTGATCAATGATTGTAGTGACCTTTATATATATATATTTTAATTAAACATCAGTTTTTATGAATTATTTGACCATATTAAATTTGTGTCATCACTCTACTCTCTATTTGATTTCAGCTGTTTTAAATTCCTGAAGATAATAATACAAAAATTTTACTTAGAATTTTTATGGTATTTGGGGATGGAACAGGATTCTAATTTAAAAGAAAAATTTCTCTTTAAATGCAGTAATTCTCTTTATACAGACTGGGGCCTTTAACAAGAATTTAATTTCTGTTTTATAGATGCACAGTAAATACTTTTGGCAAAACTAAGTAATCAACACTTTTACAGAGTTAGCATATTTGAAATTTACTGCTTAATAGAAATATTGATATGTTATAAGACAGATTTGCAGAGGCTAAACATTCATGATTAAGTTTTCTAAATAGAAAACCTATTAGTCTCACCTTCCATTCAGATTAGTAATCATATATATGATTACACACCCTGCAATTATGGTCAATGAACTGTAGAATTCAATTCCATTCTGTAGTTACTGCTTTATCAAATGCTTAAGTTAAGAAAATAATTAATTGCCAGGAGTTAATATAATCTAAAATCCACATTTAAACAAGGGAGATCTCATCAGAGGCAGGCATTTTGGGTTTTTAAATGCTTTTTGCATATTTTTTCACTTTTCCCCCTGCAGGTTAATTGAAGTACATGTAATTTCTAGAATGATTCCAATTTTATTGGGTCTTGGCCTTTTGAGAGAACAAAGCCTGAACAAAATAAGTCCTTTATTTGTTGGATCATAGCATGCTTATGTTCTCATATTGTGGATAACGACAGACAGTTCAGCTTCAAAAAAAATGAGCAACTCTTTTGAGTGGATATTGCATTTGTTGAGAAAATAGTTTGAAAGTTTAATTAGTTGGGGGGTTCACTATATTTAAACTGTCAAGAATTGTCCTCAAGGCGTTTTAAAAGATAGGCATTCTGCCTACAATCTTTTAAGTTTTTGGTTGCATTTTCCTCACTGTGGAATGCAACTGAGAGCAATTTCATACTCTATTTTTGTCCTTATGTAGCTATAAATGAAATATAAATGAATGGGTTATTTTAACCTGATCAGCTTCTCCAGACTTTCGTAGACAAACAGTCTGTGGCATAAGATACGGAGAAAGAGAAACTCAATTTACAATATGATTTCATTAATTGACAAAAAATACTAAAGTTTGTCTACTTACTACTCAGTGGTGATTTAAGCTATTGGAGAGATTGCAATCTCAAATGACTTCAACTGTTTACTAAATATTAGATCTGCACTAAAAGTAAGAAGTGTGTACACATTAAATGC